GAGACAAGAAACTTGCAGGCTATATCAAAAGACAGAAAAACAGCAGAAAAATAACACAGGGAAGGGCAAGGTGAAAAACCATGTTGTAATTTCATTATGTATGGTTTCTGACATTTTCTACATTTAGTAGAATTTTTTGGAAGGATGCTTACTCAAATTCTGGCAAATCAAACTCAAGGGAAAGACAAGATAACAAAATAAAATAACCTTTGCTTTTTAAAAAGCAGAATTGCGTTTAACCTCTCTTCTTGTCCAATCCATGACAAGCTTTTCTCAGTGCATTCTTTTCTTGGCTGTGAAGTGATGGCCATACTGGCCTCCTGCTCTTCATCTAACCATCCTTTAAGGACTTTAACCTGAATTGCTAGCTGACGAATCTGTGTACCTGTGCTTTCATTATCACTTGCAGAGCACTCTGGGAATTGCAGATTCAGAGGTGTTCTCCAAACAACTAGCAGAACAGTCTTCTTACTCCCTCCTTTCTTACTGAAAAGTTAAGCTGAACAAGCCTCAAGCTTAAATTCCAAGCTGGACTTCTCTCATCTGTTTTGATACAGTATTTTCTTCCCTCGTAATCAGTTTTAAGAAACCTGAGCTCTAATGTGCTTGCAAGTTTGAATGACAAATTGCTTATAAGCAATCTAGAAACATATCTTGACCTACAAGACAAGGAAACGTGCTTCACTCCCACCCCATATCATTCGAAAACACGACATACTCACTTCAAGTTCCCTCAAAGCACTTGGGAGAAGCTCTTTGTCTAGCAAAGAAAAGAATCAGTCTTTCTTCTGACAATATTTTGGAGGAAGATGAATTCATTTATCTCAGATTTGCTACTAATCCCCTCCTCCTCACACTTAAGTAGGGATTTCTATTTTTCTGTATCTAAAAAAAAAAAATCCTTTCCATTTTCTTAACTTACTAAATGAGAGTTAAAAAAAAATTTAAGCCTACCATAAGATATTTTTGGAGGTTAAATATTTTTGCCAGGAAAAACCAGCAGCAACTCCTGGCTCTGTGCTCTCTATGCACCCCTTTGAAGTGACCTGAATACCACCAGCGGTATCTACCTAGTCTGGGAACTCCTGTTCTCATTCCGCTTTTTCTTTACTTGGTGCTGTTAACATAGGGCGTTGGTCACATTAACCTCAATAAATACTCAACAAACACTTTGAAAGTAAACCCTTGAGTCATATATACTTGAACAAAGACCTGAGTGAAATGAGTTAACTACAAATATGTGCTCTTTATACTTTTTTGTAATAGAGATGCAGTTAAAACTCGAAGACAGTTTAAACTCAGAGTAAACGCTGCATTTCAAAGACTTATTCTGCCTTTTGGAAATTTCCATTGAAGATTTTATTTGAAAACAAACTAGTTATTAGTTGATACTGCCCAAGATAAAAAGTCTAACATGAGTGGTTTGTGTGAAGCCGTATTTTCTTTTGCCAATTTGCAAGGATTTATTCTTTAAAATACAGAACATAACCATGCCAGATATTAATGTAGTTCAATGTTGCAAGTGTACTGCAAAAGTGACTGCTTTCTTTACAATGTTCAATCTCATCATGTGAATACAAGCTATTCTGTTTTAAATTCCTAAGTAAATACATTCATAATCCCCTCAAAACAGTAACCACAGGAGCACATTTTGTATGATGAATTTTGAGAAAGATTTGGGAAATATTCTTTCAAACAGCTGCTCCAGATAGCAGGTAAAGTACAGGAGCCAGATGGTATCCATAAAGAGAAATAAGTACCACTTCACATCTTGTAATAAAGTTGAAGGCTGCACCCTAATGAACATTTGCTGCATCACCATCAGGCCTTGTTTATTTACATTTTGCAGCACCCAAGCTGCCTGTTAGCAAGTGCAAACCTGCTTGACAAAGTAAAACAAAAAAGATGTTCAGCTTCTCTTCGGATTTTAAATGGAGAAGTGATTGCATTTTTTTTTTCCTGGTGAAAAGAGTTTACTAATGAAACATCAAAATGTTTGATTGTAATACACTGATACATAAATAGCTATTACAGTCTAATTAAGCAGATAAATTCAATTTTCAGCTCTATAGGGCAGATTTTGATCTGGCTTCCAGTGCTTTCAGTCTGTTTGTACATACAGCAGGGATGTGTGTTAATTAAGAAAATCTGGACTTACAGGACAGCTATTGCACGTACGTCTATAGTACATTACGCGTATCTTGATTTATTCCTTTGTACGACAGCTTAATTTTAGGCATACAGCGCTGCAGCAGTCCCTCAGTGCTAGAAGCTGTTAATCTGTGTTTTGCAAGCCTTCCTTTGTCTCTAGGCTGAGGTCTTATTGTATTTTAATTACTTATTAAAAATAGCTGGTAGTATTGTCAAATTAGTGGGATTAACCTACTTTAAAAAGGAAATTAGGTCAGTTACTATATTCATGCCCAGCCTTCAACTCTCATGTATTGTTACAGCTCTCTTGCATCCTACAAAATGGGTGGTTTCCAGTGGAAAATACAGATCTGTGTGCAGCAGTCTGCTTCATCCCACACTCGAACACAACACTGAAACAAACACGGTAGGGTAGAGGCCCCATCACTTGTTATTAGTCTCTGCTGACACAAACCTCTTGGCCAGAGGAGAAATGCGACTTACTGTAGGCTGTTAAGAGGTGCTCCATTAGCAGGTTGGTTGCAACGGTGAAGACAAATTGGGCTGTTACATACTTCTGATATTTGAAACACACCTAAAAATCAGACTCCAAAACAGTTTTTGAAGTTGTCTTCACCAAAGCACCTAGGAACACCCCTTCCAAACCTTCCCCAAAACGGAAACTTCGCGGAAGACCCACTGACAGAGGAATGCACTCGGCCAACCACCAAGCTACTAATCCTCTCTGACCGGAGATCGGGGAGGGAAGGGGTGACAGTACCCTATCTGCAGTGACAGGTCTTGATAGCTATTGTGGCACCTGAAACACTGGGCACACTGGAAGAAAGAAGCAGTTCTTCATGCTCTGTGCCACTGCCACTGTCTCAGGCTAGATGCAAAATACAAGGCCCAGCTGCTTATCTGCCATGCAACTATCAGGAATGCAAGTGCTCTCAAGACGAAAGGCTCAGTGGACCATGTCTCCACTGACTCCATCCTCAGCTTTTTGAGTCCTCCTTTGCTCTTGGCCCCTTACTTTTTTCACTACAGTTACTAAGTAAAGCATAAATTCAGAAATTATAATTGTTCATTTAGGCAGGGGAGCCTGCTGTGCATCCCCAAACAGAGCTCACTCCTGCCTCTAACCACCCAACTCCCTGTGAGAGCTTCAGTCTGTTGGCTTTCAGAAAAACTTTTATTCTGCCTCCAATTTCCCCAAGCCAAGGAATCTTCATCATTGTCTTCCCAGTAAAAGGACAAGATTGCCCGCTAGATAATACACCAAGAGAAAGGCAGAGAGAGAATTATCCCTCTGGCATTTCTCTGAGAATTCTTCCTCTCCAAACCAGTTCACAGTCACTCTCTCACTTTCACACTAGGGCAGGAAAATTAACATGTAGGGAGAACATACTGCAGTTACATGTAATTTAGACAGCTAGCTATCTGCATCTAGGAAAAATAACTGAAAGTTTAACAGTTTTTCTCTTTCCTCTCATCTTCAAGCTGATCTACAGCTAACAAAGAGATTGCAATTTCTGCATATTAATTACACTCCAGAAAAGGAGAGAGAGGGGAAAGAAAGTAGGACAAATCCAGCCTGTACAGGGCATTCCTTTCTCTAGCATAATGAGCTGCTGCAATTCAACCTTTAGCATTCCTTGGTATCCATTTCTCCTTTCCATGCTTACCCACATGCATAGATACTGCCGAGAAAGGCTGAATCACCAGGAAGCCCAAGATTACTCAAGGAACATGAGAGCTGCTGCAGAACCACCCCCACAAAAGACCATACAGAAAAGCCTCAAGGAATCCTCATAAGCACCCTTGCGATTCCTTACTATGGTACTTTTTAGCAGATGACAGAACAAAAACCTTTCTGTATTGGTTTGGTTTTGTTTTGTTTTAAAAAGCATCCAGAGATGGCAGAGAACGAAGCAGCACACAGCAAATACAGACTCGCCCATCCCCTTGGGTTAGCTTAAAAGCAAGTGTCTAGGTTACATTAAATAATATCTTTTACAGTCTCTCTTCTCCATCTTCTTTAGGTAATGCATGGAATACGCAGGCAAATGAATATTGCCAGGGATGTCCCTGTGAATCCCACCAAGCTGGACTGACAACTTTTAGATAAAGCTTTTTCTTTTCCTGTTTTCCAGGATCATCTCCGCACAGGAGCCAACTGAACATTCCCTAGCTGTGAACCAGATCTGGATTTTGTGACATGATGTTGTTTCCTCAACGTTCCCCAAAAGAAACGCGTAAGACTTAAAGAAGAAATCAATGACAGTAGCAGTAAGCAACATGCAGATCAAAATAGCATTTATCACTTCTACACCATGTGACATGTCAGCAAGTATTTTTTTGTCTGTTAACACCACAAAGCACAACGAAGAAGCAGAAACAAGTTCCAAAGCCATATGCAACCCAAATCAGCTCTCACAGGTAAATGAAATGACAGAGATGCCAACTGCAGGATGGACAACCTAAGAATAATACGATGTTTGCAACATCTTTACTTTTTTCTGGATCATTACAGGTCAAGCAGAGTCACATCTTCATTGTGTAATGAACGCTCATTTTGCATTGTTAAATGTCACTTCTTCTCAGAGTTAATGGCTTCAAGAACCAGGGATATTGCACCCAAATTAAATAAATACCACCACAACAACTTCTTGCTTTGTAGCAACATACTATATCCCTGGCATTTTCCTCATCAACAGGAACATATTGCAGACAAACACTGTAAGCAACGAACTTGGAAGAAGGCATCCCACCCCACCACTCCCTGCATGGGTAAGTGGGCAGGATGTTCAGCTCTTTCCCCACACAAGCAAGGAATGACATTTTTGCAGAGTTCGTATGTTCTTTACCTTGTAGCAAACATTGCTCTCAGGGAAGAGAAGGTAGCAGCATCTTCTTTCAAAGCCTTCAGCTCATTTCGCAGCTTCATCATTGTCTCCGTAACCATAGCTTTTTCATTTTCATACTTGCTTTTTAAGTTGGCAAGGGCTACCTCTGCAGTCTATTGTTTACCAAGAAGAACAGAAACGTACTAGTTAATGAAACTCTTCACAATGTGGCTGGCTAAGAGATTTCTAACCACTATTCACATAATGAAACATTTACTTTGCACTGGAATGTTAAACTTCTGGTCAACTTTTCTTGCACAGATTAAATAAAATTTCATTTCTGCACACTGGAAACAGATCAGACATATGGGTCTCCTACTCCCATTAACCACACAGCAGCATCTAGGAGGTTACAGAATGTACACTCAGTGACACCCATCTCCAACTACTAAAAGAAATTAAACTTTACATACTTCAACACAAGAACAGAAAAAGTCTATTTAATAACTCTATATTTAAACACATTCATCCATCACTTGCACAGTTCTCTAACCCTTAGAGCATTGTGCCTAACTTACATTTTGGGACACTTTTATTAAAATGTGCAAAAGAAAACTGAAAGTATGTATATGCTTCTTAAACAACACTGTATTTTTTTTTTAAGACAACTTCAATTTGCATTACTTTAACTTTAGAGGAGACAATGAAGCATGTCACATGGTGTCTTAATGGCAGTTATTTTCATCTACTACACTGATAATATGTACCAAATGGCACAGCCCAACCCCCAAAGACTAATTTTACCTTTCACCCCTGTTATTTTGACCATGTTCTTCTATCACATCCTCATCTTGAAAGGCTTTCTTTTATTTTGAAATTTGAGAGAGAAGAGTACATAGTTTAAGAACTCTTTTAAGGGTAACTACTAGAATTCTTTCAAGTAGAAGGTAGGATTCACCTCTTCATTTTACATGTCTTACACTAAATATAATCTGATATAATTCAGGCAGGCAGTAGATTGAAGCTACCTTAAGCTTAATAAAAAGTCCCATGACTATGTGACAAGAAAAAGTTAAAGCCGCAGCGTTCAGCTTTACAGGCTGTAATGAAACAGCCTCTAATGAAACAGCCTGCCTCAGCCTTGTACCAAACAAGTATCAGCAACAAAAGCCCCACTGAGTTGAAGGTACGGCAGTATGACCTCAAAGATAAATTCTCTTGTGTTTATGACCTAATTCCCTGACACTATAACCTTCACATCTGTAAGACCTGTTTACCTGTTTGTTGGCCTTCAGCACAGTTCTCAGAGTTGCTATCTGTTCTCTCTTGGTGCTCAGCAAGGACTTCAGCTTCAGGATTTCTTCCATGAGAGCTTCTTTGTCTTTGTCCACCACTGGCCCAAGTTCTTGAGTGGCAACACGCTGCCTGGACAACTCAGTTGTTCTGTCCACAGCAGCTTGCAGGTGTTTGATCTGATCCCGGATTATAGCGATCAAGTTGTAAATGTTCATTGGTTCCTTCCGAGGATCTGACAGGGGCGACGGCAGAGATGACACTGGAGATGGGCTGCTGTCACCGCTTCCATTCTCTGCCTTTCCTAGCTCTATAGTTAACAGCCCTTTAGAAAGAAGAATGGGAGACCTTCTTCCCTTGGTCTCTGGACTACTGCGTCCGCCTTTACCTTCCTTGTAATAATCCAGCATCACTCTGTTTGGAGTTTCATTGTTGCACATGCAGACATGGTGGTATAAATTGGCCAGTTCTTCACTGAAAGTGACTAGTTCATCTTGGGCCACACTGAGGCTGCCCTGTGTTTCTCCAGCAACGTCACTGACTTTCTTCAGCTCCTTCTCCAGTCTGGCCACTTGTTCTCTATCATGCCTACTGGATTTTTCTAGAGAGGTGATCTTCTCAGTGAGAGCTTGGCTTTCAGTCTCATATCTGCTCTTCTCTTCCTCATACTTAGACTCACATTCTTTGTATTTGGCCTTAAGATTTTTAAGCTCTTCTTTTAGGTCAGTAATCTCTGCCACAGCCACTTTGTACTTGCACTCCAGGATCTCTGGCCCGTTGATGTCAACTTCATAATAGTCTCCATCTTCATGGCTGTCTCGGTCCTTCTCATTGTCAAGGGCAGACTGACGTTCCTTGCTGACTTGGAGCTTCTTCATTGCGTTCAGGTTTTCTGTGAGTCTACCAACTTTCTCATGTTGCTCTGAGAGGGCCCCCCGTGTATTTTCCAGCTGCTTCTGAGATTCCTGTAGCGTTGTTAACAAGTTCACCTTTTCTCTTTCCATCTGAAATGCATGAATGCAGACATCTATGTAAAGGGAACTGTATCACTTAAATGGTTTTATTCTAAGAGACAGCAACTTAGCCAAGGTCCATATGGTTACAGAAATCCAATCACTTGCACATTATGGAAAAAGCTATTTAATTTATTCTAAAACTATTTCAAGCACAGTGTTCCTTGCCAATTCTTTCTCATTTCCGCTTCAAAATGCACATTTTTACACATTTCTTCCATAGCTGATGGTCTCATTGTGAAAACATCCTTTCAGCTGAAGATAAGCTGAAGTTTACTGTTACCTTGCGTATTATCAAGTAAATATTAGAAAACATGCAGCTAGTCTATGGTGGAAGCTTGGAGCTTCATGAAAGGCTCAGAAATACTGAAACTTTTAAAGTTTCTGCTCTGAGAATTCTCATTTTGAAAAAATCCAGCTATTTTTCCACATAGGCTTTTTCTTATAGAACACTTTAAAAATGCTTGACAAAATAGCTTTAAAACATTTTTAGACAACACAAATATGCACCTTGTTTCGAACTCTCCAACCTCCCAATAGCACAAATGTAACACAGAAATGCTTGGTATTGATTAAAACTTCAAGTTCTTTGAACTTACTACAGAAAATAATTATGGTGTACAAAACTCCTTTTCATGAAGATGACTGGAGTAACCATCAATTTTTGAACAAAATACTACCCTTCTCGCTAGTGACATAATGAAGTAGACACAGCATGTACTGCAAAGAAGATGCATTACAACTTTCCTCCAAACATAGGACATGACTGCTAGCTTCTAAAAAGAAAAAAAGCTGTGGTTTTCCGCTGACAAACATTTAATGTCCTCAAATTCTAAATCAATCAGAGCCTTTACTAATACAGTTCATGCTGTATGGTGGCCACGTGAGATACTGAAAAGACTGAAATTACAACCCAAATAAACTATAGCAGCTATTTGGAAGTACACAGTCATTTAGGAAACCCATTTACCTGTACAAGCTGTTGTTTCAGCTTCTGGATTTCAGAAATGTTTAATTCACTCAGAAGATCTGAAACCAGGCTTGGGGCTGGAGGGAAGCTTTCGTTTTTCTTGGGCGTTGATGTGCTATTCTTGCCATTGCTGAGTTTGCTGAGGCAGTTTTGTTCAAATCCATTCATGATTTCATCATTATTGGGCTCTGTGGCTTCATCACTGAACTTCAGTCCATCCAAAGAGATGTTCAGGTGGCTGTTGTACATGGAGTCATTGATGTTCATGTAGTGAGAGAGCTCCTTACGAAGATTGTTCTTCTGCTCCCGCTCTGTCTTCAGCGTCTCTAAGGCCTCTTCAAGCTGGCGTTCAGAGATCTCCTTCAG